GCTGCTGATTATGATTATGCTGATGATTAATCTGCTGATGCTGCTGCTGCTGATGATGATGAATCTGCTGATTATGATTATGCTGCTGATGATGATGAATCTGCTGATTATGATTATGCTGCTGATGATGATGCTGCTGCAGTGAGATTTAAGTGGAGGGTTTAAACTTTAATCCGATTGAAAACTGTAATCCGAGCATTGAACATAGATTTAGCATATGTCTGTGTGTGTGTGTCTGTGTGTCTGTGTGTGTGTCAGTGTGTGTATCAGTGTGTGTGTCTGTGTGTGTCTGTCTACAGAATCCCACGTCGGAGAATGAGGAGGCTTACCGCAGCCTTCGCTCGGAGGTTCTGAGAGCCGTGAGGCGCTGCAAGGATGGGTGGTGGTCGCGGGTTGCTGAGGAGATGGAGTCTGCCTCAGTGGCCCGCGATCACAAATCTCTATTTGACTCCATCAAAAAAGTAACCTGCAGCACCACACCTATTACCATCATTAGGGGAAAGAACAGTGATCCAATCTCCGACCCCCAGGAACAGGTTTGCAGCTTTGCTGAGCATTTCTGTGAGGTCCTGGGGGAGGGGAAATCCCTCAGCCAGGAAAACATCGTGGCACAAAGTGGGGATGACCCTGCTGAGGCTGCAGTGCCTCAAATATTGGAAGAAGTCATCCCCGGTGGGTGGCTGGCTGAGGTGCCATCTGTTGAGGAAGTATTGAAGGCGATCCGGAGTCTGAGACCAGGAAAGGCAGCGGGCAGAGATGATCTCCCAAGCGAAATGCTGAGGGAGGGTGGCGTTTGTGCACAGACTGCCCTATATGACATCATAACAACAGTCTGGACCACTGGACGGGTTCCGCAGGATTGGAAGGATGCCCTGGTGGTCCCCCTCTTTAAGAAGGGGGACCGCACAGACTGTAATAACTACAGGGGCATCTCACTCCTCAGTGTTCCGGGAAAGGACCTGGCAAGGATTATTCAACATCGCCTTGCCAGGCACACTGAGGAGAAGCTTGCGGAGCCCCAATGCGGTTTCAGGAAAGGGCGGTCCTGCACAGATGCCATATTTTCTGTCCGTCTGCTACAGCAGAGGTGTAGGGAATTCCAACAAGACCTACATCTCTGCTTTATTGACCTGGTCAAGGCCTATGATACCATCAGTAGGCCTGGGCTCTGGGTTGTTCTTCGTGCTTTTGGAGTACCTGACCCTCTGCTCACGATCATTAAGGGCCTTCATGATGGTGAGCGGGCCCGGGTAAAACTACGTGGCTGGGAGTCAGAGCCATTCCCTGTACACCTTGGGGTGCGACAAGGATGTCCTCTGGCTCCCACATTATTTAACATCTATTTTGACCACGTAGTTTGTAAAGCCTTCAATAGCTGTACCGGGGGAATCTCCATATGGTACAGATATAATGGGAGGCTGATCGATGCCCGAGTGCAGTCAAGGGATGGCTCCCTATTGCTCAACCACGTTTAGTATGCTGATGATTTGGTAATAGCTGCTTATTCAGAGGAGGAGTTGGAGACGCTGCTGCTGAGACTGGAGCATGCCACTAAGAGATGGGGCCTTACCATCAGCCCCACCAAAACTAAGCACCTGCCTGGGTATTTTGTACCATCGGACACTCCATCCTCACAACTCCCAATTGGTGATGGAGCAGTTGTGGAGAGAGTGGAGAGTTTCCCATACCTGGGCAGTGTGCTTATGACCGGCTCCAGTTTAACAGCAGAGGTCTCACTCCGAATCAGTCGAGCGGCAATATCTTTTCATCGGTAGCGTAACGCTGTGTGGAAGCTACCTGGTCTGTCGCTCCGCAATAAGCTTCAGGTCTTCTCGGCCACGGTCATTGCCTCCCTTCTCTACGCTTGCGAAACGTGGACCCCCCTAATGGAACATCTTCGCTGGTTAGAAACATTTAGGCTGGCCTGCCTACGATCCATCCTGGGTTTAACCAGGCTGGATTGTGTGAGGAGCTCACAAATCCTTGAAAGATCTGGGCAAGGTCCCATCGGTGAGCTCCTCCGGCGGGGAAGGCTGTGATGGCTGGGTCATGTAGCCCGCATGCCCAGCCACCGCATGCCGAAACAGCTTTTGTTCGGCCGGATCGAGGGGGTTAAACGGGTGCGGCACGGGCTAGAGAGGAGATGGAGTGACGTGGTAAAGGAGGACGTGGAGCTGAGTGGACTTGCCGATGACCGGTACCAGCGGTGTCAAGATCGGCCTCTGTGGAGGAGGCTCGTGAAGGACGCTACTGGGCAGTTGGAGGCAGTCGCCCTCCAACAACAACGGAGGGCGGAGGAGCGACGCTCACAACAACGATCGGATCGCCGGGTGGCTAAAGCACAGCAGGTTGGCACAGTAGGGGGCACAGGTGGTGCATCAGCCAGTCATCTCAGTCAGTCGACCCGTGGCACCTGGGTCTGCCCCGTGACCTCCTGCCAGCGGGCGTTCGACACTTCACGTGGCAAAATATAATAATAGGGTTTTTCCCCTTTTTTCTGTCAACAAAACGAGGTGTAATGATGATGTAGATGCTCACCCCGAGCCCTCATTACTTTGACAGCGGCGTCGTCTTTGAGCTGTGTGACGCCTTCTGACGTCATCTGGTCGAGCACCAATTGGGTCGAGGCTCAAAAGAAAGCCGTCCCTTGGTGTGGACCAATCAGTGTCAAGGACGATGCATCATCATGTTATCATAGTGTGTCCTGTTTTTTGTTTGCATTTTGACTGCAGGTATTTGTGGTTAATGCGGTAAACATGAATCCAGTTTTGTTGCCAGAAAAAAGGGGAAAAAGCCTCTTATTATTATTATAGTTAACGTGGCCTCAAGGTGCACATGGCCTGGCACAAGCGTCGTGGTGACGTCACCGCCACTTAGTGGCGAATGGCGGTGGTGGTGGTGGTAGTGGTCGTAGTGGTGGTGGTGGTAGTGGTGGTGGTAGTAGTGGTGGTGGTGGTGGTAGTGGTGGTGATAGTGGTGGTGGTAGTGGTGGTAGTGGTGGTGATAGTGGTGGTGGTAGTGGTGGTAGTGGTGGTGATAGTGGTGGTGGTGGTAGTGGTGGTAGTGGTGGTGGTGGTAGTGGTGTTAGTGGTGGTGGTGGTAGTGGTGGTGGTGGTGGTAGTGGTGTTGGTAGTGGTAGTGATGGTGGTAGTGGTGGTGGTGGTAGTGGTGGTGGTAGTGGTGGTGGTAGTGGTGGTGGTGGTAGTGGTGGTGGTGGTAGTGGTGTTGGTAATGGTGGTGGTAGTGGTGGTGGTGATAGTGGTGGTGGTAGTGGTGGTGGTAGTGGTGGTGGTAGTGGTGGTGGTAGTGGTGGTAGTAGTGGTGGTGGTCGTGGTGGTAGTGGTGGTAGTGGTGGTGGTAGTCTCTAGCTGGCTATACAGTTACACATACACAGGAAATTAAGTCCTCACCAATCCACTCATTCAATCACTCACCCACTAAATCAATCACAAACTAATTCATTCAATCACCCATCCACTCATACATTCACTCACCCACTCATTAAATCACCAACTCATTCATTCACCAATCCACTCATTCATTCACTCACCCACTCATTCAATCACCCACTCATTAATTCACTCACCCATCCACTCATTCATTCACTCACCCATCCACGCAATCATTCACTCATTCACCAACGTATTCATTCACCTTATCACCCACTCACCCACTCACTCACCCACTCATTCACTCACTCACCAGCTAATTCACTCACCCAGTCAATCACTCACTTACCCACTCAATCAATCACAAACTCATTCATTCAATCACCCATCCACTCATACATTCACTCACCCACTCATTAAATCACCAACTCATTCATTCACCAATCCACTCATTCATTCACTCACCCACTCATTCAATCACCCACTCATTAATTCACGCACCCATCCACGTATTCACTCACCCACTAATTCAATCACCCACTCATTCATTCACTCACCCACTCATTCAATCACTCATTCAATCACCCACTCATTCACCAACGTATTCATTCACCTTATCACCCACTCACCCACTCATTCACTCACTCACCAGCTAATTCACTCACCCAGTCATTCACTCACTCACCCATCCGCTCATTCAACCACTAATTCACTCACTCACCCACTCACTCACTGATGATGATGATGATACTACTACTGATGATGATACTACTACTGATGATGATGATGATACTACTACTGATGATGATACTACTGATGATGATACTACTACTGATGATGATGACACTACTGCTGATGATATTTCTACTGCTGATGATACTACTACTGATGATGATGATACTACTACTGATGATGATACTACTGATGATGGTGATACTACTACTGATGATGATGATTATCATGATACTACTACTGATGATGGTGATACTACTACTGATGATGATACTACTACTGATGATGATGCTACTACTGATGATGATGATGATGATACTACTGCTCATGATGATGATACTACTGATGATGATACTACTGATGATGATAGTACTGATGATGATACTTCTACTGATGATGATACTACTACTACTACTGATGATGATACTACTATGATGATGATCATACTACTACTGATGATGATACTACTACTGATGATGATGATGATACTACTACTGATGATGATGATACTACTGATGATGATGATACTATGGATGATGATACTATTGATGACGATACTACTACCGATGATGATACTATTGATGATGATACTACTACTACTGATGATGATACTACTACTACTGATGATGATGATACTACTGATGATGATACTACTACTGATGGTGATGCTGATGATGATACCACTACTGATGGTGATGATAGTGCTACTGATTATGATGATACTACTACTGATGATGATGATACTACTACTGATGATGATGATGCTGATGATGATGATACTACTACTGATGATGATGATAATACTACTGATGATGATGATGCTGATGATGATGATACTACTACTGATGATGATGATGATGCTGATGATGATGTTGGTACCTTTTCCAAGGCCTCTCAAGCAGGGCCCCTCAGTGTTTGGCCATTCCGACAGAAATCGATTCCGTCACAAAGACAAAGCAGGTCCTCGCCCAGGTAGCCCACGCAGCACGCTGGGGCAAGGGCTGAAGAGGAACAGACGAACATCACTCGGTCATTCACTCATTCATTCACTCATTCATTCACTCATTTATTCACTCAGTCATTCACTCACTCATTCATTCACTCATTCACTCATTCAGTCATTCACTCATTCAGTCATTCACTCACTCATTCACTCACTCATTCATTCACTCATTCACTCACTCATTCATTCACTCACTCAGTCATTCACTCATTCAGTCATTCACTCACTCAGTCACTCACTCAGTCATTCACTCACTCATTCACTCACTCAGTCATTCATTCACTCATTTATTCACTCATTCACTCACTCAGTCATTCACTCACTCAGTCATTCACTCATTCACTCACTCAGTCATTCATTCACTCACTCAGTCATTCACTCATTCAGTCATTCACTCACTCATTCACTCACTCAGTCATTCACTCACTCATTCACTCATTCATTCGCTCATTCACTCACTCAGTCATTCACTCATTCAGTTATTCACTCACTCATTCACTCACTCAGTCATTCACTCACTCATTCACTCACGCATTCATTCACTCACTCAGTCATTCACTCAGTCAGTCATTCATTCACTCACTCATTCACTCAGTCATTCACTCATTCACTCAGTCATTCACTCACTCATTCACTCATTCATTCACTCATTCACTCAGTCATTCATTCACTCATTCACTCAGTCATTCACTCAGTCATTCACTCACTCATTCACTCACTCATTCACTCATTCATTCACTCATTCACTCAGTCATGCACTCACTCAGTCATTCATTCACTCAGTCATTCACTCAGTCATTCACTCACTCATTCACTCAGTCATTCACTCACTCAGTCATTCATTCACTCAGTCATTCACTCAGCCATTCACTCACTCATTCACTAATTAACTCATTCACTCAATCATTCACTCAGTAAGTCATGCACTCACTCAGTCATTCATTCACTCAGTCATTCACTCAGTCATTCACTCACTCATTCACTCAGTCATTCACTCACTCAGTCATTCATTCACTCAGTCATTCACTCAGCCATTCACTCACTCATTCACTAATTAACTCATTCACTCAATCATTCACTCAGTCAGTCATTCACTCACTCATTCACTCATTCATTCACTCATTCACTCAGTCATTCACTCACTCAGTCATTCATTCACTCATTCACTCACTCTGTCATTCATTCACTCACTCACTCTGTAATTCATTCACTCATTCACTCACTCATTCACTCAGTCATTCACTCACTCATTCACTCATTCATTCACTCACTCATTCACTCATTCTCTCACTCAGTCGTTCATTCATTCATTCACTCACTCAGTTATTCACTCACTCAGTCATTCACTCAGTCATTCATTCACTCATTAATTCACTCAGTCATTCACTCATTTACTCATTCACTCACTCATTCACTCATTCACTCACTCATTCACTCACTCAGTTATTCATTCACTCATTCACTCACTCAGTTATTCACTCATTCACTCACTCGGTCATTCACTCATTCACTCACTCATTCACTCATTCACTCAGTCATTCATTCACTCATTCACTCACTGAGTCATTCACTCATTCAGTCACTCATTAATTCACTCAGGCATTCACTCATTCATTCACTCATTCACTCACTCATTCATTCACTCATTCACTCACTCATTCACTCACTCATTCACTCAGTCATTCATTCACTCATTCATTAACCCACCCACTCATCCACTCACTCATTCAACCACTCACTCACCAACTCATTCACCCACTCATTCACCCACCCACTCATTCACCTACTCATTCACCCACCCACTCATTCACCCACCCAATCACTAATTCACCCAGCCACTCATTCACCCACCCACTCACTCATTCACCCACCCACTCATTCACCCACTCATTCACCCACCCACTCATTCACCCACCCAATCACTCATTCACCCAGCCACTCATTCACCCACCCACTCACTCATTCACCCACCCACTCATTCACTCACCCACTCATTCACCCACTCACTCATTCACCGACTCATTCACCCACTCATTCACTCACCCACTCATTCAGCCACTCACTCATTAACCCACCCACTCATTCACCCACCCACTCATTCACCCACCCACCCACCCACTCGCTCACACACAGACAAAGCTACCCCAGGTAGCCTCTAGCAGGCTGTAGGGTCAAGTGCTGTTACACAGACACATACAAAGCTCCCCTAGATAGCCTCTAGCAGGGCTGTAGGGGCAAGTGCTGTTACACAGACACAGACAAAGCTCCCCCAGGTAGCCTCTAGCAGGGCTGAAGGGGCAAGTGCTGTTACACAGACACAGACAAAGCTCCCCCAGGTAGCCTCTAGCAGGGCTGTAGGGGCAAGTGCTGTTACACAGACACAGACAAAGCTACCCCCAGGTAGCCTCTAGCAGGCTGTAGGGGCAAGTGCTGTTCGTAGCGAGTAACAGCAGCGTCTATGAAGGCTACCGGCACTGTGGCTACACACACAGACACACACACACACAGCCAGAAATAGACACACAGACACACACAGACACACGCACACACAGAAACACACACAGACACACAAACACACAGACAGACACACAGACAGACACACAGACAGACACACAGACACATACAGACACACACACAGACATACACAGACACACACACAGACACACACACAGACACATAGACACACACACATAGACACACACACAGACACACACACACACACATACACACAGACACACACACATACACAAACACAGACACACGCACACACACAGACAGACACAGACAGACACACACAGACACAGACAGACACACACAGACACACAGACAGACACACACAGACACAGACAGACGCAGACAGACACAGACACACACAGACAGACACACAAACAGACACACATACACACACAAACACAGACACACATACACAAACACACACACACAGACACACACACAGACACACACACAAACACAGACACACACAAACAGACACACAGACAGACACACACACGGACACACAGACACAGACACACAGACACACACAGATATACACCCAGACACCCACAGACAGACACAGATATACAACCAGGCACACACAGACACACACACACAGACCCACTCACAGACACACAGACACACACATAGGATAATCAATGCAGTAGTGGTGATAATGTTGGTGATGATGATGGTTGTGGCGATGGTGGTGATGGTGGTGATGGTGGTGATGATGATATTGATGGTGGTGGTGGTGCTGATGTTGGTGGTGATGATGGTGATGATGGTGGTGGTGATGGTGGTGGTGATGATGGTGGTGGTGATGGTGATGGTGATAATGATGGTGGTGATGGTGATGGTGATAATGATGGTGGTGATGATGGTGATGGTGGTGATGATGATGATGATGGTGGTGATGGTGGTGGTGATAATGTTGGTGATGATGATGGTGGTGGTGATGATGATGGTGGTGGTGATGGTGGTGGTGATGGTGGTGATGGTGATGGTGGTGATGGTGGTGGTGATAATGTTGGTGATGATGATGGTGGTGGTGATGATGATGGTGGTGGTGATGGTGGTGGTGATGGTGGTGATGGTGATGGTGGTGATGGTGGTGGTGATAATGTTGGTGATGGTGGTGGTGGTGATGATGATGATGGTGGTGGTGATGGTGGTGGTGATGGTGGTGATGGTGATGGTGGTGATGGTGATGGTGGTAATGATGGTGGTGATGATGCTGCTGATGCTGATTCAGCTGATGATGCTGCTGCTGATGATGATGCTGCTGCTGATGATGATGATGATGCTAATGATGCTGCTGCAGCTGATGCTGCTGCTACAGCTGATGCTGATGATGCTGATGCTGCTGATGCTGCTGATGCTGCTACAGCTGATGCTGATGCTGATGATGCTGCTGCAGCTGATGCTGATGCTGCTACAGCTGATGATGCTGATGCTGCTGCAGCTGATGCTGATGCTGCTACAGCTGATGCTGATGATGCTGCTGATGCTGATGCTGCTACAGCTGATGCTGATGATGATGATGCTGCTGCAGCTGATGCTGATGCTGCTACAGCTGATGCTGATGATGCTACAGCTGATGATGCTGATGCTGCTGCAGCTGATGCTGATGCTGCTACAGCTGATGCTGATGATGCTGCTGATGCTGATGCTGCTACAGCTGATGCTGATGATGATGATGCTGCTGCAGCTGATGCTGATGCTGCTACAGCTGATGCTGATGATGCTACAGCTGATGATGCTGATGCTGCTGCAGCTGATGCTGATGCTGCTACAGCTGATGCTGATGATGCTGCTGATGCTGATGCTGCTACAGCTGATGGTGATGCTGATGATGATGCTGATGACATTGAATCCGTTTGTCGCGCAGAGAGCGAAGAGCGTCCTTACCGAGAATATGCGAAGATGGAACAGAGGGAGATGGGAGGGGGGAGTGGGGGGAGTGGGGGGTAGTGGGGGGAGGGGGGAGTGGGGGGGAGTGGGGGGAGGGGGTAGTGGGGGTAGTGGGGGGAGGGAGAGAGGGAGAGAGAAAGGCGAAGGAGAGAAATAAAAAAATAAGAGTGGAGAGCGAAATAGTGGGGGGAGAGAGAGAGAGAGACACGGGGAGAGAGAGAGACACGGGGAGAGAGAGAGACACGGGGAGAGAGAGAGAGACACGGGGAGAGAGAGAGACACGGGGAGAGAGACAAGGGGAGAGAGAGACACGGGGGGAGAGAGACACGGGGGGAGAGAGACACGGGGAGAGAGAGAGACACGGGGAGATTGAGAGAGACACGGGGGGAGAGAGACACGGGGGTAGAGACACGGGGGGAGAGAGACACGGGGAGAGAGAGACACGGGGAGAGAGAGACACGGGGAGAGA